TGTCCAATAAGTCTAAGAGTTGGGCCAATAATCTTTCGTAATGTGACCAATTAATTGAGCAAAACCAACCTAGGTAGCCTAGGACCTGAGTCCATATCAATGTGTACAAAACCAGTTTGTCATGATCCCCCTTTGTCTAATATCTCCGCACATTTAACGGTCAGTTTATACTGGTTGATTATAGTTTGATGTGTAGCCGTGCCTACCTTTAGAATACTAGTTTATTACTTTGAAAGGATAATAATTAACAGAAAACTAATAAATTTTCTCTTGTCTTATCTGATTTCCGTGATTTAGGGTGATAAGGGAGATTGCAGTGTTTATTTATGATGCTTTGATAGTGGGTATTGACTTGTTTTTGCATATTGTGTAGTAGCGCCCTATTACTCCCCTCCTTAATCTCCCCAATCTCCGAATCCCCAATAATCTTCAAATTCCTAATACCCAAGAGGCCGATAACGCACGTTTTTTTTTCGATAACACATTTATAACGCCTCTGATATTTCATGTGTCCATGGGCAGTGTCGATTGCTTACCATCAGGTGATCAGCCTGCTCATTTATCGGCTTTTCCCATAAAAAAGTGAATACTACTTGTAAAACGGTTATGATATAGTATAGTTCACTAAAAATGTTACTATAGGACTATCATAACACAAACTTTGCTACCCTTAGAAGGTTTTCAAAGAAGGTTCGAGAAGCTTAGAGGATTTTAACTATATCTACCTATATCTGATCATACTAAGCACAATTATATACCCTGTGTTCAAGATCGAAAAATTTACCAGCAACTTTATTTACCAGCTGAACTTCCTTTAATAGGTAAGAGCATCATAGTTAACCTACAACTCAAAGTGTTTCCCAACGAATGGAGTTTCTTGCTCGTTCTTCTCCATTCGAATCTACATTTTGAAAAGAGCACCTAGCTTCACCTAGCTTTACTGACGGACTGACTGGCAGACTATTATTTATTTTGTACTAGCGTTTACCCGCGGCTTCGCTCGCATCACAAAAAGATAAAAAGCCTATGTGACATATGCTAATACACACAGCGCCATCTATACCAATAATTTCGTTTTCCCTCGAGAATACCAAAATTTCCGGGATAAAAAGTACCCTATTATTTAATCCAGACTTCTAACTTTACTTCTGCAAAAATTCAAAGCAATCAGTTCAGTAGTTACCTACGGCGTTAAAGCGAACACACAAACAAACAAACAAACTCACTTTCCGATTTATAATATTAGTAAGGAAGTAAGGATATGTTGACGTTTCAAAAGTACCAAAAAGGTTTAATTGAAATAAATGCTTTGACTTTGACTATGAATTTGTTCTGAAGTTAATTTTATTCATCCTGATGGTGATTTAATGTGGCGATTATTTCGCAATGAGATCATGGAACAGCAATTTTTAGGAGTGTATCAGCAACAAGACCATGATGGGTGGAATTCCTTACAACCTCGCATGACTGGACCTGTGTGGTGTAAAGCAGAGAAGAATGCGGTTTGTTTTTATCAGTCACTTTATAAAAGTAGTCTAATAGTTGTAAGTTTTAAATTGGTATTAAACTGAAAATATTATTTAAAGGATATTTAAGCGTCGGAGAGCCATGCTTCGGCACGAATGGGTCGGCTCGACCGGAGTGATACCACGGCCTCACAGAAAACCGACGTGAAACAACGCTTGCGTTATGTTTTGTCGTGTTAAGATAAAGATAAAGATAAAGATATTTTTTATTTGCGTTAACATGAGTAATATTACAAGAGTACATGCAATGGTGTTAAGTTACGAGTATGAGCTACATGTTATGCCGTTTTGGCGTACAAATATTTAAAATTATTATTTAATATTAAAGTAGGTAGTGAAAAAAAATATATATATAAACATGCAAACCTAAACAATATTAACCGTTACAGGTACAACAAAATTATGTTAATTGTATTACAAGTCAAATTTATCTTTCAAAAAATCTTCTATATTATAATAACATTTCTTATGTAACAAACGTTTGAGTTTATTTTTAAGCTAATAAAAACGCTTAAAATACTGTATCACTTTACCCCTTACATTATTTTTCGCCCTATTCGGTGATCACGTTAATTATTAAAAATACTTAGACCACACACCAACACAAACACACCGAAACAGGTTTAAATATTCCTAAACCAGTATTATATTTTTATTTTGGCAACATTTCACGGCCATATATTACATCGATCTATCCGTTCCGTTTGATATCGTATGCAAATTAAACGAATTTCAATCATTTCACATTTTATAATTTATGGATTTATGTCTATACCTAACTGTATAGGGCAGCAGATCAAGTTCACCCAAAATCATTTAAAATAAGTAAATCTCTAGGTACATATGACGTAAGGTTGAAAATCTCTTGAAGTAGTTTGGCATATAGGGTGAGTTTAATATGCGGTGTGTACATACATATGAATGTTTTTATGCGGATTTTTTTATAAATTGAATTTTGGTTTGGTGATTTCTAAAAGCTGTTTGTGCAATAAAATGTAAATCTTTACGGTTCGAATTTATTAATGATTAATGATTTAATTGAGTTAGTTGGTACTTTTTAATTGAGAAGCAATTCCATATTTTTCTAATAACATCGGTAACAGCACTGGGCATACGTTCTCAAGTGAATTCAATGCATTATTCGAATTTTACATAAGTAATCCACATTCTTAGAATGTATTAATTCTGTTCGACCCGCGTAGCGTAAATTTTATTTGTTTTTTTGACGTTCTAAAGTGCCTTACTGGTCTAATTGAAATAAATGATATTGACTTTGACTTTGTTAGCTATACTACACGGAAAGTAGGTAGTATCCCATCATAACCCTTTTGTTAAAACACGCATATTAAAAACATGATATAAAATAAACAATAACAAAAGAGTCCAAAATATAGATACTATTTTCTTCTCACGTTCCTTAAAAACCAAATCTTATAGTATTATATAAAGCGGAAGAGTTTGTTTGTTTGTTTGAACACGCTAATCTCCGTAACTACAAGTCTGATTTGAATAATTATTTTTGTGTTGGATAGTGCATTTATCAAGGATGGCTATAGGCTATAAAACATCACGCTACGACCAATTGGAGCTGAGCTGAGCGTGTGAAATCGCGCGGAAATATCTAGTCTATCAATAAAATCAATAAAATAGAAAAAAAAAGAAACCAAAAAAAGATTCATTAATGTATTATGAATATCAGCGAATGTATTCTTAAATTGTGTTACAGAGAAAGTAAGTTAAAAAGTTTGGAGTCGGCTATCGTACTAATTTGTAATCAATTTGATTCCGTTCCGTTTCCCCGGCTATTGTTCTGAGTTTTTTCTTGCTTTTAATACAAATATTTGGCTATCACGGCTAGTGGGCTATGATTATTATCATCGCGATATGTAGAGCGACTATTCAGATAGTCATCTTGGTTATATAGGGCTGGTACAATGGTTTTTTGTAAGTGGTATAGTTTATTTATTTATTTATTTATTTACATTAAAATGAAAGTTTACAGCAAGAGCCAAAATAAAATATAGTGTCTGTATATAAGTAAACCTTTTATTATAATGTCTCGGTATGATTAATTACACAGTTCATCTATGTTGGGCTAGTTCAAAACATTTTAGCAAATCCTAAAACGAAGATTGCAAAGGGATTGTGTGGTACTGGTAAGAGTGACATAACTTTTCTTTTATTTATGTCATACTTTGTTAATGATTCCCTTTCATTTACAGAGTATATTTAATTAGATAAGGTACGATGGGGTTGACGTATCCATATGGATAAAAAACCCCTAAAATAATAAAATTAAGGAGATTAAAAAAAAAACAGTTCATCTGAGAACACAATGTTATTTGTTTGGCAATGATAAGGATTTTTTCCGTATTTCAAATATTAAAAAAAAAATATCAAATAATTATGTAAACTACATTCTCATGTAAACGACTGCCCCGTTGGCCGAGTGATCAAAAGTGCAACTGCCGGGCAAGTGGTCTCGGGTTCGATTCCCGGGTCGGACAAATTATTTCTGTTTTTTTTAGTCTCATTTGGAGCAATAGGCTCACCCCCTATTACATGGGACTCATAACATAAATGTGAAAATGTGATGTGATGTGTAAAGTGAAAAGTGGGTACAGTGGCATTCGGGGATAAAAGGCGTGATGTTATGTTATATTATGTAAACTTTGTAGTAACAGAATTACTTTTTTATCGAATATAAAATGTATTGACAACCCTACGATACAAATACAACAAAGGTACTACAAAAAAAAAACTGCGCAATCATCCCACTTTTGATCAAAAAATTAATAACAAAAAAATTTCATGTACATATAAACGAAGTTTCCAATAAAATATTTAATTTCACTCACGTTCTTCTCCATAGGAATCTACACCTAAGAATGAGCAACTAGCTTCACTTATAAAATTTTGTTGTTGACTTTCAAAAGTGCCTTCCTGGTCTAATTGAAATAAATGATTTTGACTTTGGCTTTAACTTTGACAATGGTCAAAAATATTTTATGTATTTAGCGATTGTAACAAGAAACCAGTTGATGTTTAATAACGTTTACTTTATTATTTGGCCTCGGTAATAAAGTAATAAATTAAAAGCTTCGTGGGCCTAAGTCATAAATAAGTATAAAACTTTTACGATGACGTATGTGGGTAAGTGACACGCGCCATATTGGATTTATTGAGCAAACATTTTTGTAACCGATATATTATTATAATGCAGTTTATTTGAATAAATGTAATTCTGTGGTTAGATGTAGGATATAGGCTAAGCGACGCTCCCGTATCCCGCAATAGTTCATAACTATGAACCCTTAGCGGTGATTGAAACTAATCGAGTTGCCTCTCCATACAATTACACGAGTAATTTAATTCATGACACATAATTAACCAAAAAAATAGGTACTTTATGCAGTATATATGATATTGTTGAAGCAGTTTAGTAAAAATTAAGAAAAAATAAAATCGTCTCACCTGTGACGTCAGGTCCATGATGCAGTCACACAGAGCTTCTGGCAGTGGAGTGAACTGGCCTTGGTACGCAGGCGTCACTATGCAGTCCTCGATGTCTCCTGTAACAATAGACATAAGGGTTAGTTTCGTTTGGCAACAATATACATAAATCTGAACAAAATATGGTTGATTGAAATTCCTTCGTTTTCTATTTTTGTTAATTTGTTTACATGTTTTGGCTTAAAAACCGAGTTTCGGTATAGTATCGAGGACAACAATTAAGTTGTTAGCGGTTTTAAAGTTAAAAATAGCATTAAGAACAAACAATCAATACCTGAAACTCAACTCAAATTTTCAATTAAACCATAATTTAGTACTTTTGAAACGTCAACAAATATGAAATAAATAATAGTCTGTCAGTCTGTCCGTCAGTGTAGCTAGGCGCTCGTTCCAAAATGTTGATTCGAGTGGAGGAGAACGAGCAAAAAACTCCATAGAACGAGCAAGAAACTCCATAAAACGAGCGAGAAACTCCATAGAACGAGCAAGAAACTCCAACCTAGAGATACAATACTAAAGTTTAAATTCAGTTTATAGAGAAAAATACATTGAGGTATAACACAATATCATACAATATATAAAAGTTCCAATAACAACTCTGTTACAGGCTCCACTTTATACCCTAAAACCACCCCACGTATTACCCTTTTACCCCACAAACCAGTACAACAGTGCATTGCAACGGGCAATTAAAGTGAGGGGTATAAGTACCCGGGTATAAATCCCATTTACACTACGGATGTCCCCCGCCCAGGACCGGATTACGTAGCAAGAGTTACATTTGCTACGGACCCCGCGCAAAAGGAAACCCCGCGTAACTAAACGCATCTAAAAGTCAAAATATTTATTTGCTTGCTATAGTGTATAAAAGGTCTTAATTAATAGAATGCATTTACAACTTAGTCTACTTTTGCAAACGTTGCTAATATCCTTTATGCCTTGTGCGCTATTCGGCCTAGACATTACAGTATTTTTTATTGAAACTTTATATCCATCGTTAGTGTCAGTAAAGGATAGGGTCGTAAGGCAATAAAAATCAGCTCAGAACCAAAAGAAACAGTGCGTGTTAATGAAAATATGGATAAACCTGAACAGCAGATCCATTCATACCTTCAGAAACACTCGGTATTATGATCTCCATACGAATCTACAACAGGCACAGGTAATTTTACTCTTTGACGGACTTTGCTTCATTTACGGACAGACTTTGGTGAACAATTCAATTTTCACCTTTCAAAATTGCCTATTTATGTATTAATTAGAATGAATAATTTGAGTTAGACTTTAATAGAATTAGCTACAAGGCAACCACTTGCTGAATCCGCCCCTGCCCCGGTCATTGTTGGATCCCGGCCAAATAGCTAGAGTTGTGATCATACCGGGATAAAGGATGTTTGCTATTTGAGCCTGTGTTTTCGATCGTTGTAGCCAGTTTATTGATTCGTGACTTGTGATTGGTTGATGCGAATGGAAGTTGTGTTCCATTTTTGTGTTGAATATGGCTATAAAATTTTTATAGAGTTTTCACGTATTGTATGAACGCAATGTTCATCATGGTGTTATTGATTTGAAATTGTTTAAGATTGTTAATGTTTAGTAGTTAAAGTTGAAAGTTTTGTTAATACGTTTCATGGAAACGTATTTCAAACAAGTTGTGTGATCGTAAACATGAATTTGACGAGTGCTTGATTTGTCTCCAATGGAAAAATCCTACAAAATTATAAAAATATTTTTCATCCAAATAGATGCGTCTAAGTCTAAATAAAACCTTCGCGTATCGCAACCTATGTAGGTAATAAACCAAAGACATCACAAAAATCTCTTCTTGGGGCATTCGTGTAAAAATGCGTATCCCTTCCTACAATAGCCCGTCACTAGTAAAAATATCCGCAGTATACGCAACGCGGTTCCCTTACATCCGCGATGATATTTTTACGTCACCATTGATTAAATAAGGCCTAAACTGCATTTCCGTGTGACACTAACATGTAAACATTATGTTATGTTTAACATAACATAATAAATGTCAAGAAGGTCATAATATTTATTTGTTTTTATTTTTGGATGTGTTTAAATTGTCATTCTGAACGAAAGTAGCCAAAACATACCATAAAATGTGATCTTGTTGGAATAAGAGATAGAATTTAATTTGTTTCGTTGTAACACTTGTTTGCGGATGTTATGTTATAAGCCCTTTATTATAGGGGTTGAAATTGTTTATCATGTAACACATTAAAATAGAATTAAAGAATTACTATAGTGTTGACTATTAGGTACTTATTTTATTATTTTAGCTTTTTATTGCTTGGTAGCTAGAAAAGTAGAATTACATAACATAACATCGCACCTTTTATCCTCGAAGGGGTAGGCAGAGGTGTACATTAGACCACTGTATCATGTAACTAGAATTAAGTATACAAAACGGTTATTTTCAATTAAACGAACGCAAAATTAACAACACAGATTTAGATTTTGTTTATCGAGAGCAAAAAATTCAACAACAATTTGAACAATATAAGCTTTGTTTTAAAACAAGCATTATTCAATTAAAAAAAAATAAACAAAGTAAACTAAAACCTATACAGTATAGAATAGGTATAATTTTACACCGCTTTAGAATTGAAAGCGCTTTATTCAGTGGATTGTAGCGCTTATCTTTCAGCTCACAGGCTGCGCTCGGTCGCGAGCCATTTTAAACAATACCGCATGGGACTATGCTAGCATAGTGTAGAAGATATTATTGTTGCTTTAGCTTATTTTTAGTTCTCATTTTAAAATTTTAAACACTATCGACACTTTTGACAGTGACTGAGCAACAGTGGTGTCTGATAAATCTGATTTAATCTGAGATATCCAGTCTGCCTGTGCAGATTATGTCCAGTCTGGTAATAGACTAAACTATTAGGCTTTTTTTTTAAGGGGGAAAATCATCGAATGACTGCTCCCGCCTGAGTGAGGCGGTAGGGAGTGTCAGACTCTTACTGACTAAAAACCACCCCGTTCCTTCTTTTGCACGTCGAGCCGGAGCGCCGGTAACCCGTTAGGTTCTCCGCGACAAACTGTTAGGCTTAGTAGTACATACATGACCTGAGACCAGTTGCGGACTGAGAATCATAATCTGCATAGTACTGTATTATGTCGAAGGTAATTCACCGAAGGCCTAAATAGGTTAAACTATCCTTTAAACTAAACTTTACAGGAAAGCAACAACGATTTACTACGAAATTGCATGAAACAAACGATAAAAAAACATAACATCACGAGGGGTAGGCAGAGGTGCACACAGAAGTAACACCCACTTTTCACTATTCATGTTATGAGTCTCATGTAAGAGGGGGTGAGCCTATTGCTATATATCGGACACAATTCCAGACTCCGTGCTACTACTGAGGTTTTTTTAAAAACCCAGTAATACTTTGCCCGACCCGGGAATCGAAACCGAGACCCCTTGCCCGACCACTCGGCCAATGAGGCAGACGACAAAAAAGTTATCAAAAATTATAAACTTAATCAAAATTTGAACATGGAATTCCCACCCTTAAGCACAGCCTATTACAATTACTATGTACGACCACTTTAACCCCCATACCATTACCGTTCACAAGGGAGATTATCCCATAACAGCTGTATTTGGCAGATAACGCGCAGATTTACCAATATAATGATGTTATTCGGATCACAATGGCGTGAAATGACAGTTTATAACAAAATGGGGTCGGCAGAGAGCCTGCTATGCACGTAAAACGTTTAAACTTATAACATTTTGAAGTTCAATGCGCATTGGAATTTAGGTCGGAACTGACGAACAACTTGAATTATGGTATAAAATGGTAATATCTGGTTTGCAGTATTCGAAATAAGTAAGCACAATATACCAAATTACTTTTGGTTGGTATACTTAAAGGATATGCGAAGTGGAAAGGAATATACGTGTACTGTTTTCACTCCATCTACATTTAATGACACGGAAAGATACGTAGGTATTATATATGCTCATTTTTGATTAAAGCCTGAAAAGCCTTTTTAAAAAAAGGCTTTCGGGAGTCGTGTGGGAATTGTTCAACACAATTCTTCGTGTGATCCACAGATTGTTGTTCCGGGTCTGGGTGTGATGTGTATGTGATATTGTATGTTTGTAAACGCACCCACGACACAGGATAAAATCATAGTGTGGGGCAAGGTTATTTAAAAAAAAAAAAAAACTATAATTTAGTACATTTGAAACGTCAACAAATACAAAATAAATAATAGTCTGGCAGTCTGTCCGTGATGCTCGATCCAAAATGTAGATTCGAATGGATAAGAACGATATACATATACCTAAAGCCATATTTATAAAGCTATTTTGGCAATTAGTAGATACAAATGCGTACCAAATACAGGCAAGGCGATGAAAAATGAGTTCAATACTTATTAGGCATTAGATACTATTTCCGAAACTAATTGTTTATTGTTTACTCTTTCACATAATTGCACTTCAAAGTCTTTCTTTAAGGAACCAAGTAACAATGTGTGTATGTAATTAACAATACAAATATTACTTGCTATTAATTTTCCTAATTGTGTGTGTATTGTAGCTAAGTGGTTTGTTAATGTATTGTTTACTAAACACAGGTGGAATGGAAGTGGGGAATGTGTGGGTTAATGTAGGTACAGTAATGTATTGTTTGTTGTGTTTGATACTCTCTTAAGAAGTTGTAAGTTGTTGTATTTCCTATCATTTACAGTTGTAAATATATACCTACATATTACATTTTTTTATGTTTTTTTATTAAATATCGTGAGACAAATAAAGACGAATAAAACTTAAGAGTTGCTCACGTAAATATACTGAGAAAAGCTCTACTAGTTTCGAGTCACATAGGGAGTCTTCCTCATGTGCAGCGTGCGCGGTAATTCACGACTTTTCATTGCCAGATCTCTAGAATCGAAGGCGAGCCATCGTACCATGTTATCACTTACAATGGAATAATACTTAGCTCAATTCAGGATTCCGTATCTACCCCGTCACAACAACTTGATATATTTCTTAACCATTGGACATAAAGGGCAAAAATACTCAATAAAAACAATTAATTGT